TGGGAGCTGTAAGTGGTAGCAGAGGTGGCATTCACAGAGCTGCCCCGAGGGCAGACCTCTACTATCAAGGTCCTGTCTTTAGCAGAGATTTGGACATCTGCAAGTGACTAAAGAGGTGGTGAGAGTAAGAAGAGAATTGTTAGAAAACTAGTAATACTTTTCAAAAGAGAGACGTTCTTCATTATATGAAGTAGCATTGAGGGGTAAGTCCAAAATCCCACGTCATAATGGACAAATTGGGATTTCTAGGAAGGACCTATTATTAGGCTTCAGGAGACTAATAATATTACATGAAATATCATGAAAAGATATGTGTGTGTGTTGGATATGTACATATTCTGGGAAGAGGGTTCAAAACGCTCATTAGATCCACAGAACCCCAAGAAGAAAGCACAGACTCAACAGTCAGCTTTGAAGTAGACCGTAGATTCTGTTTTCAGATAAAAAAGTAAGAGCATCTTACATCTATAACTTGTTACAGTACAAATGGGAAAATACCACTGAATGCCTTTATTTATTGCCCTAGTTCCTGAACATTATCAGTGTTTTCAAATTATGTATAAATAATTTAACCACAAAAACAAAAAACTCACTCCCCCCACCGCTTACCGTCCATTCCTCACTCTCTTTCTAGCAGGAGAGGCATCTTCCCACATTATCTCCACTTCCCCTGCTCCCAGCCCCTTTGGAACCCACACCACGTAGGCTTTGTCTCCACCAGCTACCCATCTACCAAGTGCAGTTGTCAAGGTCTGCATTGCCACATCAGTGGACAGTTGTTTGTCCCTGGGTTACTCGGCCTGTCAGCAGTAGTAAACATTGTTGCTCTCTCCTTTCTTGATAACTTTCTTCACCTGACTTCCAGAATCCCACACTTCTTAGCTTACGAGCTGTTGCTGTTTCCTGATCTCCCGTGAGACCCATCCACATCTTTCCTTCTCAGCCAGAGTGACCCAACCTCAGTCCTCACACTCTTTTTCTTTCTATATATACTGCTACACAACAGATCTCGTTCATTCCCTTGGTTTGACCCTTTAACTCTTTTTCACATAAACTGTTCGATTTGTTTAGTTTATTGTGGTTGCACTTTTCAAATGTCTTAGTATTTCCTCTGCTGGTTCATCCTTCTTTGATGATACTGGCTGTTCAGCTGGTAATGTGTACTTCTCGGGAGGGCTAAAGCCTAGGGCCTGTTGTGCCCATTCTGGTGAATTTGGGCCATATAAGGATCACCTGTGGATATACTTCACCACTGCCGCCTCTCAGCATCACCAGGCGCCTCAGGAACCCTCCCTTACCTCTGCCAGACTCTGCCCTTTTTCCAGTGCTCGTGTTCCTGAGTCATCATCTGACCTGAGCATGTGGAGGGGAGGCGAGGAGGGGACTCGCAGGTCCTGTCAGGCTGCCTGAGCCCTTGCTTTCTGCTCCCCATCTTAGGCAGGCCCTTTACCCTGATGCCCCTGCATGGTCCCTGGCTGGTACTGGGCTGGCACTGCTGTGACACAGACTGTCCATGCTGATGGGAAGTGACATGTATAGTAGCATGGAGAAGAAAAATGCCTAGAATCAAAATGCTTTGCTCAGCGGCTGTGAGCCGTGGCACCTGATACTCACTTCCACCCTGCGCTACTGCCGCCGGACTGCGCCCAGCTTGATCCCCCAGGGGCTCTTGTATGCTCACAGCGTCCTGGGAAAGGCCTTCCTCCCAAGAGAGAACCCCTTCTGCTATTTGCACATTTTTGTATTTCATATTATTAGTTATATAGTACTATTATTTTTCATTATCCAAAATTGGGCACTGTTTGTTGATTTCCTTTCATAGGAAATGAGAACTTAACTGTCTTATACCAGCGCTAACACTGCTTCCCCTTCTTATCTTTAATATTTATATTAACATTTTTGGTTAAATGAGTATTCTCTATTAACATTACAAGCTTTGCAGACAGTAATGAAAGTGAGTCTCACAGGGCCCTGTGGTGATGGGCTTCGTACTGTCTTGTTTTGCTCTTTGCTTTCCATGAGGTTAATAATGGCCACAGTTTCCATGTTTTCTCTTTGCCTAAAAACTTCATGCCTAAAATCGTGTCTCTGCTGCCCTTCTCGTTCTTTGGTTTAGGATACAGTCACTAACCCTTTGATCACCAAATCCAGTGAAGTCTTCCAGGCCAGCTCTTTGTACTTTCTTTGTCACTTTCTCCTTCCTTGGTTCTCAGGCTGTCCCTTTCTGGCCACTGCTTTGTAGTCTCATTACTGGGTTCTACTCATTTTCCCTAAGTGTTGTGTTCCTTGAGATTCCATTCTTGCCTAAAATAGCCTCTGTAGGCAATATCTGCTGTCGCCATGAATGACTCACTTTTTTTTGAGACAGAGCCTCAAGCTATCCCCCTGTGTAGAGTGCTGTGGTGTCACAGCTCACAGCAACCTCCAACTCCTGGGCTCAAGTGAGTCTCCTGCCTCAGCTTCCCAAGTAGCTGGGACCACAGGCACCTGCCACAACACCCAGCTATTTTTTTTTTTTTTGGTTGCAGCCGTCATTGTTATTTAGTGGGCCCAGGCTGGATTTGAATCTACCACCTTAGATGTATGTGGCTGGCGCCTTAGCCACTTAAACCATAGGCGCTGAGCCGAATGACTCACATTATCCTTTCTTCCAATATAGAACTTGTAGCTCTATCCTCAGCTGTTTTACTGGCTACTGACCATTTACCAGCCAATGGGGAGTATGAAACAAAGTGGTTATTGCCTCCCCCAGCCCACTCTTTTCTTGGGGTATCTGCATGTGAATTGGGTAGAAGTCTTCAGTATCCACTCTGACTATGGTTCCCTTCCCTTCTCAGTGTTCCGGATATACACATAGGAGGTGCACACACTGTCACAAATCTTCCCTCCCCAGCGCCAGCCTGCAGCTCTCCGGTTTTTTTGTTTGTTTGTTTTGTTTTTTGCAGTTTTTGGCCAGGGCTGGGTTTGAACCTGCCACCTCCAGCTATGGGGCCGGCGCCCTACTCCTTTGAGCCACAGGCGCCACCCTCCATTTTTATCTTTATTTTGTTCCCTGTTGTCTCTTCACCTAAAGTGAGGGGAAGGGATATTGGGCCCAATGTGAGATTCCAGCAGAAGTTAGCTATTACTCATTTAGTGTGTTTTCTTTGTTCACATTAGTAACTATTTTAATAAATCATCCCTTTCAAAATACGTTAATCTTTGAAATGCTTAGAGAATGATCCCTTGGAACAAATGGGGTGCATTCGCACTCTTTCCCCTGCCCTGCTACTCTCAGGTTTACTACCCATGGAATGAAATATGAATTCCGTTACTTTCCGAAGTAAAACTACACGTGTGTGATCATAATGTGAATTTGCCAGTGGAGATGATGTACTTTGTCCAAATCAGAAAGAAACAGCACAATTGAACATTCTCCTGTCCACTTATATGACTGTGTATAATTAGGACCATGAGTCTGAGCTCACATTCCTGAAAGCATTCACATTCCAAAGGATCCTCAGTGCCTCAGCCACGTCTCATGCATGGATCAGAGTGTTCTGTGAAAGAGACAGACAAGGTGGCACGCTGGTCCCATTTCTCTTAGGTACGCCTTCTAAGAGGTCTAGGCATTCCGTCTTTCTTTCAGGCACAAGTATGACTGAGTCAGTGCTGAGTACCAGACACTGTGGTAAACACTGGTGACGTCAGACAAGGAACTGTGGTCCTCTCCCTGAAGTTCAGAGTAAAAACAAAGATGTGGGCACCTGTCTCTTGGAACCTTACTCCTCGAAGTATGGTCTGGAGACTGTCAACATCAGCATCCCCTAGAGTGTGTTAGAAATGCAGAGTCTTGGTCCAGGATGGATCAGCATGTCTGTTCAGGATTCTGCATTTCTAAAAAGCTCCTAGGTGGTACCCACGGCTGTCGGTCCTTGGACCACAGTGACCAGCAGGGTCCTGGATACTCTCCCCAAGCCAGTTCTAGCCCCTTATCAAAGGAGTGGAAGATTGAGTATGCACTTTTTATGCTTCCAGGGAGCTGGCTTGAGATGCCCAGCCTGATGTGGCTTTGACAGGTGTGTCTTGTTATAATGTAACCTGCTGTGGGGTTCAGTTTAATCCCGCTGTCAGTATTTGAAGCATCTAGGATAGAATATGCAAAGACTAAATGATAACAGGTTACCAAGAAGTTGCTAAATGATGAGCAGGCCTGGAGTAGTTGGAAAGAAAAGAGATACTTCTTCCTTGGTACCTCACATGTCTAATGCAAATGCATTAGCAGTTTAGAACTCAATAATTAGAAGGGGCTAGGACCTCTTTAAGTACAGTCAGCATGTTATTACAGCAGTCCAGAAGGAAGTTAATGAGGCCAAAACTAAGACAGGAGAAGCTGCATTGACTCGTCCTGGGGCCCGCAGTCCGGCCCTCCAGTGGTCTGAGGGACAATGAATTGGCCCCCTGTTTAAAAAGTTTGAGGCCCCCTGATCTAGAATCTAGCATCTAGCTCTGGGAACTGTATAGACAGACTCACTTAGAGACTACAGGAGGAAGAGGGTTTTTAGACTCCCATTTCACTCATCAACACAGGATGTTGATGTGACCCGCCCTGTAGGTATTGGGGTGCAGTCCTGGAGCTCTGGAGAGGAGTCTGGCTGGAGCTGCACAAACTCTAGCAGAGCCGACTGGGTGATAGATTTGAAGCTATAGCGTGGATCTGGTCCGTCATTCAGAGGGAACGCTCCCGAGGGAAGAGACAAGTGCCAAGTATGGGGCCGTGTGGAAGAACAGCCGCCCAGCATTGACAAGGGATTTCCAGATAGGTCGTCAGCAGGAGAGTCTATAGAGTGCTTAGGGTGGCTTCACTTTCATCTTATTCTTTGAAAGTATAAGGCGATATTCTAACAGGTTTCACAAGGTTTGTCATTGTCATTGTCATTGACGATAGTGAGGGTAGCTCTTTGGTTTTTGTTGTTGTTTGGTGGTTTCCGCCTTACCAGTGTGTTCTGTGCACTTTTAAGGTCCTTAAAATTCTGGTCAGGGTGGTGACTGACGGGATGACTGATAGAAGTGGAGGTGTTGCCACGGGCCTCAGAGGAAAGCTGCAGGAGTTATTTGGCAGAATAACTTCACGGGTGACAAATGATGGAGAAGTCTGGAGGCTGTATGCCCAAGTGTATGGAAACGGGCAGAGTGAAAAGCCTGAAGAGAATGAAAAGGTAAGTCCTTCGGGCCTCTGTGCCCTCGCTTTCGTTTGAGCACATGTGTAGTTTATCTGCTTTTTCGATGGGTGGAGAAAGAGTCTAATAAATCTGGAAGATAAGAGTAGTATGCTCGAGCTCAGCTTTGGTTCATACAGTCTTTAACACAAGCACTTTGAACTGTGGGCACGTTAAGACTTGAAACATTCATCTTTTCACTTTCCGTGAATTTTTCTCATATAGTTGTTCTGTTTCCCGAAAAAGGGTCTCTTGGACTCGCTACCCTACTGGATCTGCAGCACATGGCTGGCACTTTTCATTTCTCTACACCCCTTTCTGCAGGCTCTTGTTAAAGACTAAGGTAGATTGTTTAGATCTGGGATGGGGATGACAAAAGGGAAAAAGACAAGGAATTAGATAAGGACGTTGAAAAAGTTTTGAAGTCTAAACATAGAACGCTTTACAAAGGTTGCCCTGCCTTTTCTCACAAGTACAGTAAAACCCAGTTACACGCAAGTTATGCCTCTAACCTCTTGTCTTAGAAGTTAAAGGAGCCCCCAGAGTATCCAAGTCTGGAATACTTGTTGTGTGGTTCTTTTCAAAACATCCACAGCAAATCAAATGTTCCTGTGTGAGTCTGGAATTAGCCACAGTCCCACTAATCTGCAGGCTTCTGAGATTAGGAAGGGCTTCTTTGTTCTCCCCGCCCTCGGCCTGTGCAGTTGCCTTCCACCATTGCCTTGTGAGCCCAGAGAGCACACACCACCTGCACGCACTCCCACTGCCTGTCCTTCCCTCTCCTCTTGAATTACGATTATATGCAATTAAGGGGAACCAGAATTCTCTGATCTGTGACCTCCCCTTCAAGGATTTGAAAGAAAGTGCTTTACACGTCTGTGAAATTACACATCTTCCATAGTTTTAACCAAGTTCACACCCCATTCTCTAGGCAGGTTTCTTTTTTTTCTTTTTTTTTTATTGAATGGTAACTATGTACATTAATGCACTTCTGGGGTACAGTGTGGGGTTTTCACACACAATCCGAAACACTTCCATCAAACTGGTCAACATAGCCTTCATGTCATTTTCTTAGTTATTATTTTAAAACGTTCACATTCTGCTCTTAGATTCACTTGTATCCTTGTAAGATAAACCTCAGATGTGATCCCTCCAAACCCCTCCCTCCACCCATTCCTCCCTCCCTTCTCCCTCCCCCCCCATATTCTTAGGCTGTTATTAGGTTATAGCTTTCATATAAAAGGTATAAATTAGTTTCATAATAGGGCTGTGTACATTGGGTACTTTTTCTTCCATTCTTGTGATACTTTGCTCAGAAGAACATTCTCCAGCTCCATCCATGTGAACATGAAGGACGTAAAGTCTCCATCCTTCTT